CGATCGATTTTCGAACAGTGACCATCTCTCAATCAGTGCTTTGCTTCAACCTAATCTATTTTCTGAATACCGGCTCGCCTTTCCAGACAGAGAGCTGCAACTGGCTGCTAATACCTTCAATACAGACAAATATAGTTTAAAACAAGAACTTAGTGTGTTATATAACCGAAATGAATTTGAAAATGCAGCAGGTGCATTAACATTATTACAGTGTTTTTACGAAAACAATTTGTTAACTGTTCTTCCAGAGTGTACAAAGTTACTGAAGATTATTTGTACAATACCGATGACAACAAGTGAATGTGAAAGGTGCTTCTCGACGCTTAAACGTATAAAGACTTTTGTCAGAAATACCATGGCTCAAGATAGACTGTGTGCGTTGGCAATGTGCTCGATTGAAAAAAGATTAATTCGTTCAACCCAGAACTTTAACGAATTAGTAATTGAACATTTTGTGAGACAAAAAGAAAGAAGAATAGATTTCATCTATAAACAAATTTCGTAACTAAGTAAGTGGTTTGAAAAATTTTATTGCATACCTACCTACATAGGTATATTAAAAGTATAATTAATTTTCAATTTTAATTTAACTGTTAAGTACACTATTTCTTTAGTACGTTTTTTTTTTATTATTAAAAATGTTCTCAAAACTTATTGCTAAGCAATATCAATACTTCTGTTGGGAAATGAAGATTATTATTATCATTATTTTCTTTTTTGTCTTTGCCCCCCCTCTTCAGAAGCTTACAAGCCGCCACTGCGGGGAAGGATGGGTTCCGGATGAATGGAAGGTAGGGCGACTGGTCATCTTCTTGAAGGGCATAGATAAGGATAGGTCATTACGGAGGTCGTATAGACCTATCTGCCTTTTGAGTGTGATGGGAAAAGTGTTTGAGAGAGTACTGGTGGGGAGATTGACAAGGGTACTTGAAAGAAGAAGGTCGAGCGCTCAGTTCGGATTCGTGAAAGGACTGGGAATACAGAAGGCGTGGATAAGAGTGAAACAGGTTGTGGAATGGTCGGAAAAGAAGTACCTGTTGGGAATTTTTGTTGATTTTAAAGGAGCGTTTGATAATAATCTGAGCTGAAATGCGGTGTTGAGTAAATTGAGGGAAGTGTGTGTGTGGTAGGAGGGGCAAATGAGGTGGAAAGTAAGGTGTGTAGAGGATGTCCACAAGGATCTATCTGTGGACCAGCGGTTTGGAACATGATGATGGATGGGTTGTTGAAGTAGGGGGATATCGTGTGTGGCGTATGTGAGAACAGAAGTGGTGGAAATGCAAAAAGAAACTCGCCACTGTTCCTTAATAGCATAACTGGTGCGCCAATCTTAAGTGTGAAATTATGAGGGGGAAGACCAGCTGGGTTAAGGGTGTTCAAAAACTCGACTGGATAATTTACAGCATCATCAGTTTATTTGTTCTCTGTGCATTATAACGTCCTGTGCGAGCAGTGGCTGGTTTTCTATCAGAGTGAATAACGATTTCAAACTTTTCACAATCTTCGGGTACTTTTTGAAGAGTTGTTTTCAGGTCCCTTATTATATTCGAATTTTTCTCGTGCAGTATCGTTTTAAATTGTTTGACTAAATTTGGTTTCAAGCCAGAGAAATTGCTGGATCTCAAATTTGCGTCCCTTTCGTTTTCACCAATGAAATAAATTAGAAGAAATTGAACTTCTTGTTGAGGCAAGGGTGATAAGCTACCAACCAAATGATAAACCTGTCCCTGTACTTTAAAAGTGGGCATAAAACCATCTTCCAATATTTTCTTAGCTCCAAAGGACGTCATCTGAAAACAACTGTTATACTTTGTAATACTATCCATAAAATGAGGCTGCTCTGGATGAACCCGAAGCTGCGAAGAGGCTTTGGCAAGGGTTCAAGTTGCACTTTACCACGGACGCAACACATGCCAAGAGCTTCTTCTTTCTACTTATATATATATATATATATATATATATATATATGCAAGACAATGTATGCATTTGTGATTTGCCTTTTTATATCTACTTCAGGCATTGCAGCGAAATTTATATATTTACCCGAATTTAAAAAATTCTGTTTATTTAACGCCCATTTATTACTACCTAAAATGCCTAATTTACCGTTAGAGACCTAAAGTGTTAATTAAACGACCTAATTGTAAATTTTACAAAACTTAAAATAGGATTCCACGACCAAAGAAGCGGACGTGCTGGCACAATAGAGACTTTCCATGAATTCATTGTGTTGGCTGGCAGATTGTTTAAAAATGGGTTGTAAACAACGCCCTTGAGTTTAATGGTACGGGTTGGCGTCGCCAACTGACAACGCTGGCCTGCAAAGAGGTGAATCTCTGAAAAAGCATTTTATTTTAGAAGTTTATTGTTAGTGATACTGAGTGTCTTTGCGTGTTAGTGAGTGTGCTGGGGCCGGTTTTGATTTTTGTGCATACAGTAAAGAATCCTCAAAATGCCTAAGGTAAAATCATCCATGAAAGATAAAATCAAATTATGGTTAGGGAATAATTTGGACAATAATTTTCAATTTCCTTCTTCAACCAAAGACAATGAGTTATTCTGCAAAGTGTGTGGAAAAGTTGTAAGTAAACATTTAAAATACTGAAGCTTGAATTATGTTCACATTTTTGTTTCCTAGTTTAAGTGCGAAAAAAATCACACTTTGAACAATACTGCAGTGGCGATGCACATAAAAAGAACGAGAATAAATCCAGTAAACAGACTTTATTAAACATTAGTTCCGACAATGATTTTACGCAATTTTGCACCGATTTATGTAAGGCATTTACCGCAGCAAATATTCCATGGAATAAAGTTAGTCGTCCTGAGTTTAACAATTTTATGCATAAATATACAGGAAAGCATTTACTCTCAGAAAGCACTCTGAGAAAAAATTATTTACCAAAAGATTACAATATGATGAGCACTAGAATTTTTATTTAAAAACTTTTTAACAGAAATTTTATAATTTACAGGTAATTACACAAATTAGAAATTCTATTGGCAATAATAATATATGGATTAGCGTCGATGAGACGACGGACAGATTAGGAAGATACATAGCCCATTTAGTAAATGGAAAGTTGTCTTCTGAAGAAGTTGGCCGTCCATTTCTACTAGCTTTGAAGCAGCTTGATAAAACTAATAACAACACAATCTCGAGATTTATAAACGAATCATTAGGTGTGCTATTGATAATTTTAAGCATTGAAATTATTACAATTTATTTAATTGTTAATTTGCAGCTTTATTGTGGCCAAAAGGAACTGAACACAAAAAAGTTAAATGGTTTGTATCAGATGGTGCTTCATACATGATCAAAACTGGTACTAATTCGCAGGTGTTTTATGAAAATATAACACACTTAACATGTATGGCACATGGGAAACATTTATAGTGTCTGAAACAATTAGACTGAATTATCCAGATGTCAATGGGATAATTATCAATGTTAAGAAAATCTTTTTAAAAGCACCAATAAGAGTAGAGTATTAACCAGGTGGGTCACTTGGATTCAAGCAGCATTGTTTTATGCAGAACACTTTGATGTTTTAAAACAAGTCAGTAAATATATAATGTTTTTTACTATCATTCTTGTATTGAATATTTTTAGGTTTTAATGTCATTTGAAGCCACAGATGCACAAAGCATTAAAAAAGCTCAAGAATTCTTGAATAAAGCAAACGTTAAAAATGAACTCTTGTATATTAAAACTCACTTTAAAATTATTGCTGATGCAATAGAACAATTAGAAACTATAGGTTTAAAATTAAATCAAAGTATGGAAATTGTGGAAAAAGTGTATACATCTTTAAAAAACACACCAGGAAAGGTGGAGGAAATGGCGTTCCAAAAATTATGTTCTCTATTAAAAAAGAATCCAGGATACGATTTTATATGTTCAGTAAATAACATAATTTGCGGTAGTGGAAATGCTACCAACAATACATACATAAATGAAAACGTAAATTGTTCAGTATTTAATTTTGCACCTATCACTTCTTGTGATGTGGAACGCACGTTTTCAAAACTTAAAAGTGTTTTAAGCGATCAAAGGTGTAAATTTACAATCGAAAATTTAGAGAAATATATAGTTTGCTTTTGTAACTCATTTCAAATACCTGAATTAATATTTTATTTTTTGTTAAATGCGACTTGCTTTAATTTGATCACCATTTTTTTGCGATAACTTAGAATTAGTGGACGTAACTATAGATCTTGTTTATTTAATCATTTTTTGTTTGTTGCACAAAATATTTGTTTCTATAATGTTTTGTTTAATGTTTTTTTTAAATATATATTTTTTTGATGTTTGCTTTTTCGTTGAGCAAATATTTTTTCCTCCAGGTTTCTAACCTAAACTAAGATTTTTATAACCTAATTCGTCAATTTTGGGGCCTAAAATCCGACGCCTATTCATAAGCTAACTCAAGATCATACAACATTCCAGACAAAGCTTTAACCTTGCACGGAAGCAATCGCCTTTCTGATCGTCTTCCTGGATTACAGTAATTGTGATTGAATTATGTACTTGCCACCACTGTTACACTTTACACTGTGGGTGCAGATGGTCTGAGGAATTTTGGTTTGTGTTTTCCCATTTAAACCATATTCTTAACACACATAAAATTTTACAACAATCGACAGACAGACAAACAGACAGACAGACGGAAAAATGTAAGAACGTTGTAACTGATACTCAAAAATTTCATGAGTAAGCCACTTTAGTGTGTTTTTTTTCTTTTATTAAATTTTGTTCCTGTTCGTGACTCCTTTCATTTAAAAAATTAACCAACTATTTCCTCATAATGTTGCAATTTTCAATGACATGAATCCATTTTCCATACATTAAATTAAATCGCTCAATAAATAGGCCTCTACTTTATAAAACAATAACGTTGGTGGTATAAACTGGTTCGTGCCAACATTTTCCCCCTAACCACAATAATTAATTAGTTATATAAAGACAGAACCTCCAATTTCATCTAGACGTACTGGAGAAAGCATGAAGTACCTACCAGTTTGTGTGTTTCTGGCAACTTTTACTTTCGGTGCTAAGCTGCGTAAGTCAACATCGTTAATTTATCACTCTTACTTTATTAAAACCGACTTATAGCATCCACTTTTACTAAATGTAACCCCAAACAAAGCGATTTCCAACAATGCCTGACCAAAGCCATCGAAAGTGCCGTCCGGCAGCTAACCCGTCCAATCAAGGAGGTGAATTTACCAAACATGAAACCATTGGAAATACCATCGATGATTATTGGTGAGGGTTCAGGACCAGTGGCCACCAAACAAATATTCAAAAATATGAATGCTAGTGGTTATGACGAAATTACGTGTTCTAAGGCCGAGTAAGTGTTCTAGTGTTATAGTTTCTGTATCACGAAATGGCAATTAACGATTTCGCAGACTGGATTTTAACACGAAGAAGCTAAATTTGACGTGTTTGATACCGACGTTTCGGATGGACTTCGAGTATGAAATGAGTGGGCGGATTTTGGTGCTGCCGGTGGTAGGAAAAGGGCCTGGATGGATCGTTTTACGTAAGTTTTTGGGTATTTTTGCGTAATTGTCATAACTATGATAATTGTAGATGATTTTAATTTGGGGCTGATTTTTGATTTGGAAGAGTATCAGAAAAAAGGGAAGAAATATTTTCGCGCTACTGGGCATCATTTGACTATAACCCCGCGGCTTATTGAGGTCAAATTGGATAATTTGTTTGACGGTGATAAGGCCCTGGGCGATAATTTGAATAAGGTGATGAACGATAATTGGGAGGCGCTTTTTGCTGATGTTAAGCCGAGTTATGAGGAAGGTTTTGGGAGCGTTTATGCGTCGATTTTTAACCGGTTGTTGGCGAAAGTGCCCGTGAGTGAACTCTTCAGTGACGGGTGAATTATTTATTTGTGAAAGAAAAAATTAACTTTTTACTGTTGCCAGTGTAGTGTTTTTAGTGGCTTGTAGATTTCTAATAAAATCTAATATGTTTTTAAAAATGTATTGCAGACATAACTGTTTATTTATTATTATTGAACAGTTTTCTTGTATACCAAAAATGTTTAAGAATTCCTGTGTAGAATTGGATTTTAATCGTAATACCCCCCCCCCCCCTTAGGTTAATTATTTCTTTTTTTTTAATATATTTTCTGAAATTACTTATTTTGCTAGCTTTGTAAAATATTGATGTATTAAAGATGAAAGATAAATTAAAATGAACAAGAAGTACCAGATATATAGGTAACACATTATCAAAAGTTGGGATTTAATCATTTTTCTTTGCCAAATTAATTTTTTAAAGCCTGTTGATCGTGTTTCTATAATTATTCTACTTTGAGACACGTGTTAAATTTATTAGCTGCGAGTAAAACCTTGGTTGCAAGTTAAAAATAAAGAATAAAATATGCAATGATGGAAAAAACTTTATGCATATATTATTATTAAATATATAATTATATATAATTATGCGTACTAACAAAACAAATTAGAACAGAACAGTGTTAATATATTAGTTAGTGTTAAAACTATAATGATTGACTTAAAATGTAATGAGAAATGAAACGATACATGTGAAATACGAAATGAAACATACAAAATGAGAAATGGCAAACGAAGTAGGAAACTACAAAGGCGAAATGAGAAATGAGGTGTGCGAAATGAGAAACTAGTAATGCGAAATGAGGAACGAGCTAACCGAAATGCGAAATGCGAAAGGAGAAACAAGGTGTGTGAAATGAGAAACAAGATTTCTGAACGTAGGAACGAGGAATGAGGAATATAATGCGCGAAGTGGGAAATTACAACGGCGAAATGTGAAATACGGTGTGCGAAATGAGAAGTAGGATGTGCGATATGATAAATGAGAAATGCGAAATGCGAATTGAGATGTACGAAATGACAAATGAGAAATGCAAAATGAGAGACGAGGTGTGCGAAATGATAAACGAGAAATGAGAAATGTGAAATAAAAACTAAAAAATGCGAAATTAGGATCTAGACGTGGGAAAAGAGAACGTGATATGTGAACTGAGAAATAAGATGTGCGAAATCAGAAACGGGATGTAAATAAAAATGTGCTGAATGAGATGAAAAACCAGATGTGCGAAATGAGAAACGAAGTATGCGAAATAAAAACGAGAGATGCGAAATCAGAAAACGAGTATGCGAAATGAGAATATGAAGTGAGAAACGAGTTGTGCGAAATGGCAAAAAAAAGCGAAATGGGAAATGAGAAACGGCAAATGAAAAATCCAATTGAGAAATGAGAAATACGAAATGAGAAACAATATGTGCGAAATGGGAAATGTGAAATTAGAAATAAGAAATGAGAAATGATAATGCGAAAAGAGAGATAAGACGTGCGAAATGAAGAACATGAATTGGGAAGAGAGATAAGATGTTCGAAATGAAAAACAGGATGTGCGAAAAGAGAAATGCGAAATGAAAAATTAAAAACGAGAAACAATATGTACGAAGTAAAAAATGAAAAACGCGAAATGAGAAATGCAAAATGAAAAATAAGAAATGCGAAATGAAAAATGAGAAATATGAAATGAGGAACTAGATGTGAGAAATGAGAAATGAGAAAAGCGAAATGATAAACAAGATGTGTGAAGTGAGAAATGATATGTGCGAAATGAGGAACGAAATTTGCTAAATGAGAAATGAGAAACAAGGTGCTCGAAATGGCAAATGTAAAATATGAAATGAAGAAATAAGAAGTGCGAAATAAGAAGCAGGATGTGCGAAATGAGAAATGCGAAATGGAAAATAGGATGTGTGAAATGAGAAATGCCAACAAGGTGTGCGGAATGAGAAGTAAGATGTGCGAAATGACAAATACGAAATGAGAAACAAGGTGTGCGAAAGAGCAAATGAAAAATGCGAAATTAGAAATATGATGCACGAAATGAAAAATATGAAATGGAAAATGAGCAACCAAGTTTGCGAGATGAACGAAATGAGAAACAGCATATGCGAAATGGGAAATGAGATATACAAAATGAGAGACGAGATATGCGAAATAAGAAATGAGAAATGAGAAATGCGAAACTAGAAACGAGATGTGCGAAATGAGCAACGAGATGTGAGTAATGAGAAATAAGGAATGCAACATGTTAAATGAAAAATGCGAAATGAAAAATGCGAAATGGCAAACGAAAAACGCGAAATAAGAAACAACATGAGCGACGTGAGAAATGAGAAATAAGCAATGCAAAATGAGAAATAAGATGTGCGAATAAAAAATCTGAAATGGGAAAGAGATGATCAAAATGCGAAACAGGATGTTCGAAATGAGAAATGCTAAATGAAAAATGAGAAATGAGAAACAAAATGAGAAATGTTAAATTAAATGTACGAAATGAAATATTAGAGATACCAAATGAGAAACGAGAATGTGAAATCAGAAATAAAGTGTGCGAAATGAGAAACGAGAAATGCGAAATGAAAAATAAAAAATGCGAATTGAGAAAAAAGGGGTAAATAATAAATGGAAAACGCAAAATGAGAAATAAAATGTACGAAATGGGAAATGCGGCATGAGAATTGTGAGATGCAATTAATGAGAAATGAGATGTGCGAAATTTGAAATACGAAATGAGAAAAAACGTGTGCGTAATGAGAAGCGAGATGTGCGATATGAGAAATGAGAAATGCTAAATGAAATGTAGAAGGTGTGCGAAATAGGAAATAAGAAATGGGAAATGAAAAATAAGATTTGTGAAATCAGAAATAAAATGTGCGAAATCAAAAGTGTGAAATGCAAAATGATAAACGAAACGTGTGAAATGAGAAACAGGAGGTGCGGAAATGAAAAGTGAGAAATGCGTAATGAGAAACGAGACCTAAATGATAAATGAAAAATGCAAACTGGGAAACGAGATGTACGAAAGAGAAATGCGGAATGAGAATTGTGTAATATAAAATGAGAAATGAGATGTCCGAAATGGGAAATTAGAAATGCGAAGTGAGACATGAAGAATGAGAAATGAGAAATGCGAAATGAGAAAAAAGGTGTGCGAAGTGAGAAACGAGTAGTGCGATATGTGAAATGAGAAATATGCTAAATGAAATGTACGAAATGTAATATTAGAGATACGAAATGAGAAAAGAGGTATGCGAAATGAGAAATATGATCTGATAAATGAGAAACAAGATGTGCGAAATAGCAAATGAAAAATGCCAAATGGGAAATATGATGCGCGAAATGGTAAACATAAAATGGGAAATGAGAAACTAAGTTTGCGAATTGAGATACCAGATGAGAAAGAGCATGTGCGAAATGGTAAATGAGAAATACAAAATGAGAAACGAGATGCGGGAAATGAGAAACGAGATGTGAATAATGAGAAATGAGAAATAAGCAATGCGAAATGAGAAATAAAATGTGCGAATAAAAAATGTGAAATGTAAAAGAGATGTTCAAAATGAGAAATAATATGTACGAAATAAGAAATGAGAAATGCGAAATGAGGAACAAGGTGTGCGAAAAAGCGAATGAGAAATGCGAAATGAGACAAAAGTTGTGCGAAATGAGAAACGCCATGTGCGATGTCAGAAATGAGAAATGTTAAATGAAATGTACGAAATGAGATATTAGAGATACGAAATGAGAAACGAAAATGTGAAATCAGAAATAAAGTGTGCGAAATGAGAAACGAGAAATGCAAAATAAAAAATAAAAAATGCGAATTGAGAAATAAGATGTGCAAAATCAAAAATGAGAAATACGAAATGATAAACGAGATGTGCGAAATGAGAAGTTGGAGGTGCGAAATTAAAAACGCGAAATGAGAAACGAGGTGTAAATGATAAATGAAAAACGCAAAATGGGAAGATGTGCGAAATGGAGAATGCGGCAAGAGAATCGTGAGATGCAAAATGAGAAACGAGATGTGCGATATGAGAAATGAGAAATGCTAAATGAATTGTAGGTACGAACTGAGATATTAGAGATACGAAATGAGAAATGCAAAATCAGAAACAAGATGTGCCAAATCAAAAATGAGAATTGCAAAATAATAAACGATTTGTGTGAAATGAGAAACAGGAGGTGCGAAATGAAAAGTGAGACCTGCGTAGTAAGAAATAAAGGGTAAATGATAAATGAAAAATGCAAAATGGCGAACATGATGTACGAAATGAGGAATGAGAAATGAGAAATGCGAACTGAGAAAAACGGTATGCGAAATGGGAAAAGAGTAGTGCGATATGTAAAATGAGAAATATGCTAAATGGAATGTACGAAATGAGATATTAGAGATACGAAATGAGAAATGAGAAGTGGCAAATGAGAAACAAGGTGTGCGAAATGAGAAACGAGAAATGCGAAATGGAAAATGAGATGTACAAAAAAACAAATGAAAAATGCGAAATGAAAAATATGATATGAAATGGGAAGTGAGAAACCAAGTTTGCGAATTGAGATACGAGATGTGTGATATGAGAAACAGCACGTACGAAATGGGAAATGAGAAATACAAACGAGATATGCGAAATGCGAAACAAAAAACGAAATGTGCGAAATGAGAAACGAGATGTGCGATATGAGAAATGAGAAATGCTAAATGAATTGTAGGTACGAACTGAGATATTAGAGATACGAAATGAGAAATGCAAAATCAGAAACAAGATGTGCGAAATCAAAAATGAGAATTGCAAAATAATAAACGATTTGTGTGAAATGAGAAACAGGAGGTGCGAAATGAAAAGTGAGAACTGCGTAGTAAGAAATAAAGGGTAAATGATAAATGAAAAATGCAAAATGGCGAACAAGATGTACGAAATGAGGAATGAGAAATGAGAAATGCGAAATGAGAAAAACGGTATGCGAAATGGGAAAAGAGTAGTGCGATATGTAAAATGAGAAAAATGCTAAATGAAATGTACGAAATGAGATATTAGAGATACGAAATGAGAAACGAGAATGTGAAATCAGAAATAAAACGTGCGAAATGAGAAACGAGAAATGCAAAATGAAAAATAAAAAATGCGAATTGAGAAATAAGATGTGCAAAATCACAAAATGAGAAACACGAAATGATAAACAAGATGTACGAAATAAGAAGTTGGAGGTGCGAAATTAAAAACGCGCAATGAGAAGCGAGGTGTAAATGATAAATGAAAAACGCAAAATGGAAAATAAGATGTGCGAAATGGAGAATGCGGCAAGAGAATTGTGAGATGCAAAATGAAAAACGAGATGTGCGATATGAGAAATGAGGAATGCTAAATGAAATGTAGGTACGAAATGAGATATTAGAGATACGAAATGAGAAATGAGAAATCCGAAATCAGAAACAAGATGTGCGAAATCAAAAATGAGAATTGCAAAATAATAAACGATTTGTTTGAAATGAGAAACAGGAGGTGCGAAATGCAAAGTGAGAACTGCGTAGTGAGAAATAAGGTATAAATGATAAATGAAAAATGCAAAATGGCGAACAAGATGTACGAAATGAGAAATGCGGAATGAGAATTGTGAGATGCAAAATGAGAAACGAGATGTGCGATATGAGAAATGAGAAATGCTATATGAAATATAGGTTCGAAATGAGATATTAGAGATACGAAATGAGAAATGAGAAATGTGAAATCAGAAACAAGATGTGTGTAATCAAAAATGAGAATTTCAAAATAATAAACGATTTGTGTGAAATGAGAAACAGGAGGCCCGACATGAAAAGTGAGAACTGCGTAATGAGAAATAAGGTGTAAATGATAAATGAAAAATGCAAAATGGGGAACAAGATGTACGAAATGAGAAACGAGATGTGCGACGTGAGAAATTAGAAGTGCGAAATGAGAAATGAGGAATGAGAAATGAGAAATGCGAAATGAGAAATGCGAAATGAGAAAAACGGTATGCGAAATGGGAAAAGAGTAGTGCGATAAGTAAAATGAAAAATATGCTAAATGAAATCTACGAAATGAGATATTAGAGATGCGAAATGAGAAATGAGAAGTGCCAAATGAGAAACAAGGTGTGTGAAATGAGAAACGAGAAATGCGAAGTGAAAAGTGAAAACTGCGAAATGAGAAAAGGGGTATGCGAAATGAGACATAAGATCTGATAAACGAGAAGTACGAAATGAGAAACAAGGCGCGCGAAGTAATAAATGTAAAATATGAAATGAGAAATAAGATGTGCGAAATGAGAAATACGGAATTAGAATATAAGATGAGAAACGAGATGTGCGAAATGAGAAATGAGGAATGAGAAATGAGAAATGCGGAATGAGGAAAACGGTATGCGAAATGGGTAAAGAGTATTGCGTTATGTGAAATGAGAAATATGCTAAATGAAATGTACGAAATGAGATATTAGAGATACGAAATGAGAAGTGGCAAATGAGAAACAAGGTGTGCGAAATGTGAAACGAGAAATGCGAAATAAAAAATGAAAACTGTGAACTGAGAAATGAGATGTGAGAAATGAGAAATAAGATATGCGAAATGAAAAGTGAGAAATGCGAGATGATCAACGATTTAAGATAAGTAAAAAATGCATAATGAGCCAGAAGTTGTGCGAAATGAAAATCGCAGAATAAGAATTGTGAGATACAAAACGAGAAACGAGATGTGCGAAATGAGAAATGTTAAATGCTAAATGAATTGCACGAAATGAGAAATGCGAAATGAGAGACAAGATGTGCAAAATGAGAAGCAGGAGGTGCGAAATCGGCAACGAGGTGTAAATAATAAATGAAAAATGCAAGATGAGAAATAAGATGTGCGAAATGAGAAATGCGGAATGAGAACTGTGATATACAAAATGAGAAACGAGATGTGCGAAATGAGAAATTAGAAATGCGAAATTAGAAAAGGGATGAGCGAAGTGAGAGGCAAGATGTCCAAAGTGGGAAACAATATGTGCGAAATCAAAATTGAGAAATGCAGAATGATTAACAAGATGTGCGAAATGAGAAACTTTGTTGGTGGACTTGTTAATGAGTAATTGATCAATTTTTATTTACCACTTCAAATTACTGTCGAAATTTATTTTTTAAAACAAAGATGTTGAACTTTTAAACGAATCACGAATTCTTGATCAATATCTGAGAAATCTCGATATTATGCTGACGCCGGATGGTCTAATGGTGTTCTGATCGCCTGGCACGCGCGCGACCTGTGTTCAAATCCTACTAATTCCTTATTTGCACACTAGAGTAAAATTTTAAAATATGTTGACATTCGAAACTAGAATATAATAATATTAAAAATTTTAAAATCAGTTTTGCTGCTGAAGTTGTTTACAAAAGAATGTTTTTATTCACCCCTCGTATATCCTACGGCGGATATTATATATATTAATAACAGTGTAATTGACCTCCACCTGCAAGTTCCTGCTCATGTATGCAAATACTTAAATGGAAGCATTCTCATGTGTTGTTTTTGTACCAAATTTGGATACAGTTGACCACCTTTCCGAGCTATTGTTGACATAATGGACACCACGTATTCGTATACGAGGGACATCAAAACGTTAAAAAATATTGTTTTCATTTAATTGTTTAATTATTATTTAAAGTCTTTCAAATTCTCGGAAAAATGAGGCTGCACCTGTTTCTATTTCTCAGAAGACGTGTTTACGTGTCCCAGATTTTTAAAAATGAGCACGATGTATGATTAATCCTCTTTTAGTAGTATCCAATTAAATTCATTAGTCACTCCATACCACAAAATGCCACTGTATAAGGTAAACTACGAATATTAAAATAACACTTATTTTAATGTCCAGCAATTAAAACAAACATCCACTATTATATAAGAAAATACTAATCGCATTGCAGGTGACGTAAAACTGGTTTATCTGTGTTATTCAGTTGTACCTTAACCTTCGAGGACTATAAAAGAAATCCATTTGACATCCATTGAGCCCACATCGACCATGAATCTCATACCAGTAATAACAATTTTAGTGACACTAGCAGCTGCCAGTTTCAGCGCCGTTCTACGTGAGTACTCATTTATTTTCCGTATTTTATAAAAAAGAATACAAAAAATCCAAAAAATAGCTTCCAGTTTTACAAAATGTAGCCGAAAACAGAGCGACTTCCAGCAATGCTTGACCAAAGCGATAGAAACCGCCATCCAGAAGCTGGACCGACCGATCAAAGAACTGAATTTACCCAACATGGAACCCTTGGAGATTCCAGCTCTAACCGTAGGCGCTGGAAATGGACCAGTGGCGTTCCAGCAGAATTACAAAAATTTGAAAGTGACGGGTTTTAGAAAAATTAGTTGCTCAAAAGCGGAGTAAGTTTGTGCTCAAGTTTGTCTAATTGGTTTAATTCATTTTGGTAGATTTGACTTTGATAAGAAGAAGCTGATGATGGACTGCTTAATTCCGGAGTTTCGGATGGATTTTGACTATGAGGTGAATGGGAGGATCTTGGTGTTGCCCATTGTGGGGCAAGGGCCTGGGTACATAATTTTGCGTGAGTTTCAAAAAAAATTGGTAAAAACTGTGCTGGATTTGGTTGTTCGTAGATGACTACCACTTGGTGCTCAATTTTGACTTGGAAGAAGAAGAGAAGAAGGGTAAAAAGCACTACAAGATCGCTAAGCAGAAACTGACTATAGAACCCAAACTGATTGAGTTTAAACTGGACAATTTGTTTGATGGTGATAAGGCTCTAGGTGATAATATCAACAAAGTCATGAATGATAACTGGTCGGAGCTCTTTGCTGACGTTCGAGCGAGCTACGAAGACGCGTTTGGGAAGATATTTGCGTCGATTTTTGGCAACCTGTTAGCGAAAGTGCCCGTTAGTGACCTGTTTGGTGATGCATAAATAAAAAAAAATGTTGTAGATAGGTACCAAAACTAGATTTATATTTTTCAGTAGTCCTTTAAAAAAACGTTGGATTTCAGTGATGATACTAATAAATCAGATAAAGTGTTATAAACCGTCATAATTAGTTAACCAAATGAGATTCAAACGATCGATCAATTTATTATTTGTGTGGTAGATGGAAGGGTAAGAAATCCTTGAGTTTTCTTAATCCGAAAATTAGCAGAAGTGGACGCTGCGAAATTAAGTTATTAGACAATGCAACATAATGGAATATAAATGAGATTGGTTCTATTTTGTTATAAAAACTCTAAAATTTTAATACAAAAAATTTGAATTGAGTCTCCAAACATGCGTCAGAATTATAAAATTAGTTACATAATTTTAACAAACTGATTAATGTGTGCATTTGTTTTAAAAATTAATAGAATGAATAAATTTGCAATTAAAAATATAAAGGAACTATCGCTACTTAAGCTTAAATGAGTTAATTTTATAGACTTACAAGTAGACGCAAATAAAAAGAAAACTTTAATGACGTTAATGCAAATTTTGAGATTACAAGCCTGTAAATGGCACGCATATTAAAAAACTATCAAGGTTAGGAACGCTCTTATTTTCGATCTAACGACGTTTCAACTTTTCAGATTCTTTAATCACCAGTTGGTTAAATTCATAAATCCAAAAATCTATATTAAGATAAAAGGCAAAATATATTTTGTCCATATTTTCTTAATGGGCGAAGTCTTATTTTTCCAACAAGAAATTGAAAACATATTTAACTATTGTGTCGTTGAAAGAAAACTCTAGACATTAGCAACTAATGCTCCTATAGCATCGGAACTAAAACTTCGCATTAGTTAAGAGTTAAAAAATTGTCCCTGTATATTTCTCTACAAAATTTTACTCTTTAACCATGTTTTCAGTTTCTGGTTGGAAAAAGAAGTCTACGTATATTAAGGTAAAATAGGCAAAATATATGCCCCGCCCACCCACCCTATCTCAATTCAGATTATTTTATTTTTCATCGTGAGCCGGAGGGCGAAAGTTAATTTCAAAATCTGCATTTTTCTACAAAAAGTTGCTATGTAAAATATGTTTTTAATTATCCTGTTTTTGAAAGAAAACTATATATATTAAGAAAAAAACACTCCACCCCGATCTTAATTGTGATGAGTTTTTCATTAGTAATCAGACCCAGGGGCGGAGTTTAATTGCAAAATCCATATTTCTCTACAAAATTTCACTCTATTAAAAACTCATTTCACAGGATAATGCAACTGAGATCCCACCCGGCTCACGATGCATAAAAAAATCATCACAATTTAGAGGGGGTGGGTGGGAGGGCTTATATTTTGTCCATATTTTCTTAATGGACGCAGTCTTCTTTTCCCAACAAGAAACTGAAAACATATTTCACTATTGTGTTGTTGAAGTAAAACTCTAGAGAATGGCAACTAATGCTTCTATAGCATTGGAACTATAACTTCGCGTTAGTTAAGAGTTACAAAAATGTCCCTGTATATTTCTCTACAAAATTTTACTCTTTAACCATGCTTTCATTCATTTTCTTGTTGGGAAAAGAAGACTACGTATATTAAGATAAAATAGGCAAGGTATATGCCCCGCCCACCCACCCTATCTCAATTGCGATTATTTTTTCTTCGTCGTGAGCCGGAGGGCGAATGTTAATTTCAAAATCCTCATTTCTCCACAAAATTGGTATGTAAAATATGTTTTTATGTAACTTTTTTTTGAAAGAAAACTATATACTTATATTAAAAAAAAACCCACCCCAATCTCAGTTGTGATGAGTTTTTCATTCATAATCAGCCCGACGGGCGGAATGTAATTGCAAATTCCATATTTCTCAACAAAATTTTAAATTTCACCTTTTTAAAAACTCATTTCACAGGATTTTACAACTGAGCTCACGATGGATAAAAAAATCATCACAACTGAGACAGGGTGGGTGGGTGGGGGGACTTATATTTTGTCCATATTTTCTTAATGGACGCAGTCTTCTTTTCCCAACAAGAAACTGAAAACTTATTTAACTATTGTGTCGTTGAAAGAAAACTCTAGACATTAGCAACTAATGATTCTATAGCATCGGAACTATAATTTGGCATTAGTTAAGAGTTAAAACAATGTTCCTGAATATTTTTCTACAAAAATTTTACCCTTTAACCATGTTTCTAGTTTCTTATTAGGAAAAGAAGACTACGTATATTAAGATAAAATAGGCAAAATATATGCCCCGCCCACCCACCCTATCTCAATTCTGATTATTTTATTTTTCGTCGTGATCCGGAGGACGAAAGTTAATTTCAAAATCCATATTTCTCTACAAAATTTTATTCTTTTAAAAACCCACTTCACAAGATTTTGCAACTGAGCTCCGTTTCAGGTTCACGATGAAAAAAAATCATCACAATTGAAACGGGGTGGGTGGGGGCGGGCTTTTGTCCATATTTTCTTAAAGGACGAAGTCTTCTTTTCCAAACAAGAAACTGAAAACATATTTGACAATTGTGTCGTTGAAAGAAAACTCTAGAGATTGGCAACTAATGCTTCTATCGGAACTATAACTTCGCGTCAGTTAAGACTTAAAAAAATGTGCCTGTATATTTCGCTACAAAATTTTACTCTTTAACCATGTTTTTATTCATTTTCTTGTTGGGAAAAGAAGACTAGGTATATTAAGATAAAATAGGCAAAGTATATGCCCCGCCCACCCACCCTGTCTCAATTGCGATTATTTTTTCTTCGTCGTGAGCCGGAGGGCGAATGTTAATATCGAAATCTTCATTTCTCCACAAAAAATTAGTATGTAAAATATGTTTTTAAGTATCCTGTTTTTGAAAGAAAAGTATATACTTATATTAAAAAAAAACACACCCCAATCTTAATTGTGATGAGTTTTTCATTCATAATCAGTCCGAGGGGCGGAGTGTAATTGCAAATTCCATATTTCTCAACAAAACTTTAAATTTCACCTTTTTAGAAACTCATGTCACTGGATTTTACAACTGAGCTCCGCACCGGCTCACGATGGATACAAAAATCATCACAATTGAGAGAGGGTGGGTGGGTGGGGAACTTATATTTTGTCCATATTTTCTTAATGGACGCAGTCTTCTTTTCCCAACAAGAAACTGAAAACATATTTAACTATTGTGTCGTTGAAAGGAAACTCTAGAAATTAACATCTAATGATTCTATAGCATCGGAACTATAACTTGGCATTAGTCAAGAGTTAAAACAAGGTTCCTGTATATTTTTCTACAAAATTTTACCCTTTAACCATGTTTTCAGTTTCTGGTTGGGAAAAGAAGACTACGTATATTAAGGTAAAATAGGCAAAATATACCCCACCCACCCACCCTATCTCAATTCTGATTATTTTATTTTTCATCGTGGGCCGGAGGGCGAAAATTAATTTCAAAATCCGCATTTTTCTACAAAAAATTGTAATGTAAAATATGTTTTTAAGTATCCTGTTCTTTTAAGGAAACTATATATATTAAGAAAAAAAAAAACATCCCCATCTCAATTGTGATGACTTTTTCATTCGTAATCAGACCGATGGGCGGAGTTTAATTGCAAAATCTATATTTCTCCACAAAATTTTATATTTTTCCCTTTTAAAAATTCATTTCACATGATTTTGCAACTGAGCTCCGCCCCCCGCTCACGATGAATAAAAAAAATCATCACAATTGAGAGAGAGGGTGAGTGGGTGGGGGCTTAGGTTTTGTCCATCTTTTCTTAATATACGACGTCTTCTTTTTCCAACAAGAAACAGAAACATGTTTAACTATTGTGTTGTTGAAAGAAACTTTATGTATTAAGCAAAAAAAAACACAAAGAATAAGCACAACCCGCCCGTCCCATTGGCAAGTTTTCATTCGATGTTAGACCGAGGGGCGGAGCGTACCTACAAAATCCATATTTCCCTACAAAAATTTACGGTTTTGAACATGTTTTATGCTTCTTCTTGCGAAAAGAAGGCTATGTATGATATTGTTTCTTGGAAATTCATATCGTTTCGTCATTTCTGACCATCCTGATTTTTTCTGTTGTAATTTTTTATTTGATCTAATATTAGAACTGCCCTTGGATTCGCATTTACGGCATAATTTTTTATTATTTGTACCCTAATTTTTGTTTGTTTTTTTCCTGTTCAATTTCTAGTAATTGTTTCAATTTATTACAACGAAGTTTCGTTTGTTTCAAATTTTGTTCCAAACAGCGATTTGTGTACAATAAATTTTTAATTTCTGTAGATGTATACATGGTTTCAGTTTCACAAAACTGCTCAGACTAATTAACTGACGAGTGATCCAAAAATCTACACAGTGACACAGTCCCTCATTTACGGTAGACTAAAATTTTCAAAATATTGATAACTGAAAATATTACTAATTAATAACAATCAATTTTACAAATACAAAGGAAATGGGTCCTGATACAAGTCTTCGACGTTGTGTAGACAGCAATATTTTGAAATTTGTTAAAACAACACTCTTTAATCGTGTTTTATTAAAATTAGCCTATGTAACCAACATCACACACGCGTAATGAATGTGTCTATATAAATTAAGTTTAAATTTAATTCTCAGAGATGGAGATCCGTTACTCCCAACTTACGTCATTTAACAAAAACGGACATTTCACCGACGCAACAGGTTGAATAGATTTCATAATAAATAATTTATCATTTTATTGAGTATATTCAACTGGTTCTTTACTTTTTAGCAACTCTGTACGTGTGCTCACTGAGTTGATCGAAATGTAAAGTTCCTAAATCTTTTTTTTCTTTTACCTTTTTTCCATAACACCAATGTTATTGTTTTTTCCACATTTACTTCAAATCCCTTCTTTCTCATATACCTTTCAAGATTTCTAATAATTTTTCTTTTTTTTCATTTCTTCTTCCGACTTAGCTGTCTCATCCTGTGTATTAGATGTTCACTTATCTTTTGCTTTTCAAATATTCCTACATTATTTCTCTAACCAGAGTCTCAAATGCGGATTTTATAATGTGACTTTTAATAACCTGTTTTGAGGTCACAAATTCACTCATATCAAACTAATTTCTATGTGATATTC